TGACCGAAGAGCAAGGTAATGACCTTACCGGGAAGTGTCATGCTGCATTTCAGTCGATTCATATAGTCGAGCTGAACTCATGTAATGTAGTTGCATCGCCTAGCATGCGTCCATCAAAAGTTATTTAAAAAAAAAACTGCCGGAGACCTTCTGTGACCTGTGATATCCTTAGGTTCTGCTTTAGTGTGTCATGTTCACCTGTTAACCACTGTTTGAGTGTTCAGTTTGACTTTATACAAAAGAGTTGCCTTTCAATTTTATCCCATTGACTTACAATGGGAGGGTTGCAAAATTGACTTGACCTTAGGTCACCGATATGAAAGCTCCGAGACATGCATTTATACAGATTGTTACTCTTAACCTTCGCCCCAGTGGGGGGGGGGCATATGTTACCAGCCTGTCGCGTTTTTTCGTATAAATAAAAACCTAGCCTTTGGTACATCAATTTTGGACAATGTGTGAAATTTTTGACCCCAGGTCATGTCAGGTCAGGTCACCAGGTCAAGTTAACTGACCAAGCCTAAAAAAGTTTGCAATCATGTCCAGCCTGCAGTGTTTGTCAGAGAGGTTTTAAACTTAAGGTGGATTACATGATGTTATGGGTGCGTACAATTTGTATATCTCGGATTTTTTTTATATGCGTGACCTAAGGCCAGGTCAGTGGCGTGACCTTACCATTATGTCAATGGAGAAAAACGAAAATGCCTCTAGATCCGTGTGTACGCATAGGAACAGTCCAAATATTTCAGGATAACAATGATTTTGACCACCCGTGACGACCAAGGTGTCTTTTTTGCTGATAGCCTCTTGAAAGGTCATCCGAGGTCATTTGAGGCTACAAACAGTTTTTTGCCAATAACTCTCGATTGGAAGAAGATAGAACGCTGGGGTTGGCCTCATTGTGTTTGTATTGCCAAGACGCATCGACTGATATGCAACATGACCTTTTCCGGTCAGGTCATGACCTTGACCTGAGGTCAAATTTTGAAGTTGACCTTTCAAGGTCAAATTATTGTTCATTCGACGCGTCTCGGCGAGAGGAACACGATTCTGGCATCAGAAATGTCCTAGCTTTTTTTAGTCAAAAGTTATTGTCGAAAAACACTTTTCTTAAAAACAGCTATTTTTGGAGTTTTTGCCCTCTGGAGGCTAAACTGTTGACCTGAGGTCATTTTTGATAATGACCCTATCAAAAGAAGAGTTCAAAAGCTATCGATTGCTATTCCCAGCGTTTTCTAGCTATCATAGTTCCTGAGATAATGGCATGTATTCTGAAAAATATAATGACAATTCGCAAATTTTGACCTTTGATGACCTCTGGCGACCCTAATATTGCTCTGAGATGAAAAATGACCGAAATACTTTCAAACGTACGCATCAAGAGCTATCGACTGCTTTTTACCGCGTCTTTCTAGCCCTCTTAGTTTTTGAGTTAGAGGTGGGTGGTAACATATGCCCCTCCCCCACTAGGGCGAAGTTGGCTGAGACCGCCACTGGGGCGCGGGTTAACAATCGCTGTAAGTAAACTACAACACACTTTTATCAAACTCGGTTGTTGCGGGAGGGACAAACGCCTCTGCACATAGCCCTCGGTCTCTAGCCCGGTTTCCATGGGCACCTGTGATCCGGATCAGCAAAAGTGGATTAGCTAATCCATTACAGTTAGCCAATACATGAAAATAAGAAAAAGGGATCAACTGACAAGCCTAATCCACTCTGAATTACAGCCTGCAACGAAAAAATCGAGGAATATACGATATAAATTGCTGATCCGGACCACGAGTGACCATGAAACGTCGTCTCTGACTCTGTCTCGTCTCTGTGCCTGTCTCTGTGCCTGTCTGTCCCAATGTCTCTGTCCCAATGTCTCTGTCTCCGTCTGTCTGTCTGTTTGTCTGTTTGTGGACGTCAAGGCCTCTGCCTCTCTTTCTCTCCCCCCTCTCTCTCTCTCTCTCTCTCTCTATCTCTCCTTAGTCGCTATATCCTAAATTTAGATAGATAAATAGATATAAAGATAAATAAATAAATAGAGAGAGATAGAGAGAGAGATAGAGAGAGGGTGAGGGAGAGAGGGTGAGGGAGAGAGGGAGGGAGAGGAAGGGGAGTGAGAAGAGAGACAGAGAAGTTTTGAAGGAGGCTCTACGGTTAAGCATGTAATTTGTGCATTCAATTGTACATATATTCTGCAGTCTGCTTTTACATTTGAAGATTTCGCACACAACTGCAAAAACTGTTACACAGAACTGTGTTTGTGGTTGTCGTATGGTTAACCCGCGCCCCGTTGGGCTCTGCCGAGCAACGCGCCCGGTTGGGGGGGGGGGGGCATTTTGGCCCCCCCTAAGATCTCGAGAACCACGCAACATAGCGACAAGCGGTAAACGGCGTTGGATAGCCCCAACGGGGAACTACCTTGTGACCCAATTTTATTGACCTAGGTCAAACCGATGACGTCACAGGTCAGGTCAAAGGTCCAATTTTCACCGTTTACAGGCACTTCAAGAAATGCGTTGTAAAATCGAGTAAAATGCATTTCATTGAAAATCATCGATGGGGAAATGTTCTTCAAACACATATTTTGCTATTTCAGGTCACTGATACCAGGTCAGGTCACAGAGGTCAGGTCACGGGGGGGTCACAATATGAAAGTGTCGTGTGATACATGTTTTATGGTCCATTTTACATGACAAATGCGATTATATGGGTCAGGCAGTCTTTGGGCCAGCTTAGATCACGTTTTGGTCAAGGTCAGGTCAAGGTCAGGTCAAGGTCAGGTCAAATTAGGTCAAATTTCAAAGTTAATATTTTTGCATAAAATGGGTATCGAATCGATGCAGCTCGTCACGGGGAGTTCAATGGTGGTCTTTGTTTTGCCGTACGAGGTCTAGAATTGCTAAAAATTGAGTTCAAAAATTTGACGTCATCATTTTTGAACAGTTTTTTCGCTATAACTTGGTCAAAAAACGAGATATCGATCTGAAATTTGGTATGTATACAGAAGAGCGCTGGGACTATCACATATATTCCGGTTTTTTCGAAATTCGGAAAATTTTTGGATTTTTTCAACGTTTTTCTAAAAAAAATCAATTTTTTGATTTTTTTTGGGTCAAAAACCAAAAATTTTGAAAATCCGAGATAGCAGTTTTGTAGCGCCGCTTTTTGTCTACCATACCATATAAAGAACTTTGAAATTGCTTGATAACTGTAGATTTGGTGAGCGTTTCAAGATTGCATGTTTTTTGCTCATTTTTGCTCGAACATGACCTCAGTTTGACCTCAATAACTCCTGACCTAAGGTGACCTAAGACTTGAAATTTGGTGTGAAGGTGTCAAATTGATGCCCGAGAAGGTACTGAAAATTTGGCGGCGCTGCACGCCGCCGTTTTCTTGCTATTCAGGAAAAACCACAGGGGGGGGCCAAAATGCCCCCCCCCCCAACGGGGCGAGGGTTAAGGTAGTGGTAGCCGTAGGCAGCTCACCGTATATAACCGCATGCCTACCTGTCTTTGGACTTGGCTCTGCACTTCTTCCGTTTTCATGGAACACAAAGAAATTTCTCTTGTGTCAGTCGGTGACGGATATTCGAAACACATAAATTTGGATTGACGTGTCCAATTGTTGTGTGATGGGGTACGAGGTCGTGCTTTCGCACGCCAGGGATAAGACCAAAAGCAAGGTGTGAATTTATAACGTCTACAAGGTAGGAGCACCTTATGTTCAACCGAATAAGTAAGTGCCAGCTGTCATTTGTAAGTACTTTACTTAGCAAGCTTAAGATCTGTCAAGCACATTTAACCCTATTCCTGGCGGGCTCCGCCGGGACAAGAAACTGGCGGGGGGGGGGCCGATTCGGCCCCCCTTCAGATCTCAAAAACTACACATCGCAGCGACAAACGGTAAACGGCATCGGATACGCACGGTCAAGATCTACAATTTTTACTAAGGTCATTTTCAGGTCAGGTCAAAGATGACGTCACAGGGGTCGAAAAAGTCAAAATGGCGGCGCTAGATATGGAGAGAGTTTTTCTCGAATAAGTTTCGAATTAATCAAGATAGGAACAAACTAAGGGCATCATCGTGATCCTCTCGTCAATCCGCATCGAATGATATATATGTTGACCTCGAAAGGTCAAGGTCAAAGGTTGACCTCAGGTCACGTGACCTCGAGGTCATCATGTATATCATTCGATGCGTCTTGACGAGCTGAACACAACGAGACCATCCACGCGTCTGTATCTTGTTCCTGTACGGAGTTATTGGCCAAAAACCTTTGGTGACCTTTGATGACGTCACATGACCTCACAGCTGCCCAACAGCAAAACAGACCTCAAGGTAGTGAAGGTTGATCGTATATGAAGTCATGTATGGTATATGGGGCCATTCCGACCCGTTTTAGGGGTAAAAACAGGGAGTTGATTTTCCCCCCATTGACTTACAATGGGGAGGTCGCGAAACTGACTTGACCTTAGGTCACCGATATCGAAATTCCGAGATGTACAAATTGCACATACTGGTACCCTAACTAAAGCCTGACGAGAAGAAATTGATCGGTCAAAAACTCTAGCTCTGGCGTGATTACAAACTTCTGAGGTAGGGTCACCAAACCGCCTCTGGTGACCTGACCTGAGGTCAGATCAACTCAAAATTTTCAGACATGTTGCGTAGAAGCCTTTTAGGAAAAGTCAGAAAATTTGAGCTTCCTAGCTCAACGCGTTTGGGAGAAATAACCAAAAAACCTCAGGGGGGGGGGGGCTCCTGAGGCCCCCCCCCCCCCCGCCAGGAATAGGGTTAAAACCCGCACAACCGCAACTAGTTATATCTTTAGTGAATTACTGCGGTAAGTCAGGCTCTGTTCTCGCGCTGGATAACGATCCTCCTGCTAACAACTTGGTTACACGGCCGCAGCGAAGGCGACGCTCGTGGCGACAACCAGCGTGTGCGACTGCTCCAAGGCAGTCGGGTGACTGCCGCCTGACGGACCGCCGACTGCTCAGTCCGCAGACATGGCGGGGATTGATATAACTCCCGACGAACTTGAACGGATACTGCAGCTGCTCAGTTCTCCATCAGCCGGCGACTTCTTCGGATCCGTGAAGGTATAGCGACAAATTGATTGGACAGTTTGTTGACTGGAGGTAGGAGCTGGGTGCTATTAGCTATTAACCCGCGCCCCACTGGGGGGGGGGGGGGGCTATTCATTGCCCCCTCCCGTTTTTCTGCAATAACTTCCAAACCGCTTGACATATTGACGCCAAACTTTCAGTACCTTCGGCTACATCAATTTGACACCTTGTGTCAAAATATGAGTTTCGTAGCTACCATAGGTCGGCCGGAAATGACGTCAGAGTGACGTCATGTTCGGCCGATTTCGACGCAAAACATTGAACCACGGCAATCGCTCCCAAGAGCTCAGTTTTTAAGCTAGATCCAATTCCTTTGCATGAGAGGACTCAGCATAGATTGCGCTATCAAACTTAAATCTCAAATTTTCAAAATTGTCAAATTCAGAAAATTATAAATAATAATATTCAAAATTTATATTTTTTGTTTTTTTCAAAAACTTTTTGACTTTTCGAAAAACCCGGAATATATGTGATAGATTACATGCTTATAATTTACTCTAGCAAGTTTTAGATAAATATCTTTAAAAAATGACCAAGTTATACGCATTATTGCAAAAAAATACAATAATAAATTTTTCAAATCAATTTTCCAGTACGTATTTGACATCGTACATTAATATAAATAGTACCATCATGTTCCTGAGCTCAAACTGCATCCAGTAGACACCTTTTTGTTGAAAAAAAAAAATTAACTTCAAAATTTGACCTGTTTTGACCTGAAAGTGACCTGACCTGAGCTAAATTCAACACAAAATGACCTCGAATGACACAAACGACATCAAATTGACATGGTGACCTGACCTTAAAAGGTAAGAGGTTCAAACTTGCACACCATGTGTAAAATTGATGAGAGAATAGTCGTATCAAGTTTCTACGCGCCGCGGTTTTCCCGCTATTCGCGAAAAATCTCAGGGGGGGGGGGGGTGGATATCCCCCCCGTCGGTGCGCGGGCTAAGTTTTTGTCAAATTTAAATTGAAGAAGTAACACAAAAATAGGTGTTAAAATAGTCAATAGTGAAGTGTAAAGAAATCGTTTACTAGAAAATAGAACCGATGTACGCAAAACTTAAGTAACATTCCAACTTGTCATCAATTTTCAAAGTTGACGCGCGAATAATGGCCCGACAGCAAACGTCAAATATCATTCAGTGAACGATCAAAGATCTGAACCATTTTTCTTCATTATAGGAGCCTACTCTGAAGTCTATGAGCCGAACCGAGCTCGCCGATTTGCATCTCAGTCTTCTTAATTTGGAGCGAGCTGAGGAAGAGAAACGACAAAAAAGTGTGCGAGAAGACGCTCCACTGGAATTGATGGTCCATCAAACGCTGCTGGATGAGGCCATTCTGATGGACAAATTTAAAAGACGCATCAAAAAGCACAGCATAGAAATAGGCAACAAAGTAGTCATCTCGGCTCATCTTGTAGATCCATCTAAATATGACCCAGAAGAAGACGGCTTCCTGCTCTATGCCTTACCTGGCAACACTGCTGTGGTGACTGGGGTCACGGAAACAGAGATCGCACTGTCATACTCACGCAAGCCAGAGCTTCTTAGCATCGGAAATTCTGTCTACATCAACTTGGTAGGCCATTCCGACTACCATCAGCTGTCAGCAGTGCTGCGCTGGCTTAAAAATGTCGACATAGGGAATACTGCCACAACACCTGCCGCAGATGTAGTCCGAAAGTTATTCGCAGAAAACGAGACATCGTCTGCTAGTTATGAGTTGGACACTCCCGATGTAGCACCACTCACCTGCGTAAGTAGTTCTTTGAACCCTTCACAGCGTCAGGCGGTGGCTCTGGCGCTCCGGGATCGGCCGCTGACCGTCATCCACGGCCCGCCCGGCACCGGCAAGACCACCACCGTCGTGGAGGTGATCATGCAGCACGTGAAGCGGGCTCAGCGCGTGCTGGTCTGCGCGCCCTCCAACAAGGCCGTTGACAACGTGCTGGAAGGTGTCTGGAAGCAGATCGTGAAAGCAGACTTCGGTCTGAGCATGAATCGCGTTATTCGTCTTGGGCAGCTGGAACGAATGCAAGCAAATCTGAGAGGGTTCTCATTAAAGGCTCGGATGAACAACTCAGAGGAACTTCGTATGCAGTCGGAAACAATGACAAGAAAGACCAAAATGGTCAGAATGTTGAACGAAGCCAAGGTGGTACTGAGTACTCTGACGTCTGTGCGCAAAGTGGAGCCCATGGTTGACGATGTGTCCCGGTTCGACCTCTTGGTGATCGACGAGTGCAGCAATGCGACGGAGGCCGCCTGCTGGCTGGCCATCCCGCTCGCCAAGAAGGTGATGCTGGTGGGCGACCCGTGCCAGCTGCCGCCGACCATTCTCAGTCAGGAGGCGGCCAGCCGCGGTCTGGCCGTCTCGCTGATGGAGCGGCAGATAAAGCTGCATGGTGAGGGTATCGTCCACATGCTGGACACCCAGTACCGGATGCACGCAATGATCCAGGAGTGGTCCTCGCAGAACCTGTACGGCGGCAGGCTCAAGGCGGCACCGACAGTCGCCGGCCGCCTGTTGACTCATCTGCCCAGCGTGCGGAGCACGAATCAGACGCAGCCCACCCTGATGCTCGTAGATACAGCTGGCTGCAGGCTACTTGAATCCCAAGACGCCAAGACCAAGTCCTACTGCAACAAAGGCGAGGCGAATCTCGTGGTGTGTCATGTCTCGTCGCTGGTGAAGGCCGGACTGCCGACTGACTCCATCGGCATCATCACGCCGTACAAGCAACAGGTGGGGCTGATCGCTGGCCGTCTGCGCAAGGCAAATTTGAACGTGGAGGTGAACTCTGTGGACGGGTTCCAAGGTCGCGAAAAGGAGGCCATCCTGCTCTCTCTGGTGCGCTCCAACCCGCGCCGCCAGGTGGGCTTCGTGGGCGACCGGCGGCGGCTGAACGTGGCGGTGACTCGCGCGCGGCGTCACCTATACGTCGTCTGCGACACATCCACCGTGTGTCAGGATCGCACGATTCGCTCGCTGGTCAGTCACCTGAGGAGGAATGGAGAGCTGCGTGAGACCAGCGGCAAGCTCTGTCCGCATGGCAAGGCCTGCCAGGTCGTCGAGGACGACGATGACGTCGACGATCTAGGTGTCAGACTCGGAGCGACAAACCTGCTGCCGTAGGACCATATGCGCGAGGACACCGCTTGATGCCCGACGCTTCTTGTTCTTTGTTAGTCGCTGGCTAGGCGGCAATCTGGTTCAAAGAGAATGGCATACGTTAATGAAATTTAAAAGATAAAATCTCCAAAGCTGGCTGAGCATGAAGTGTTCATAAAATTTAGAAACTTCACTCAACGTAGTAAAGAAAAACGCATTTAATTCGATGTGCAATACGCATTGACGTGATCAGCAAAATGGTGTTTAAAGTTTTACTCATTCCTTATTGGGACATAAGTTATAGGACCGAAACCTAGGGCACGTTCTATCGAAGTTTGGAAATTGTGAGCCACAAACCGCTTTTATATTGATCTAGAGCCATACAATTTGTACAGTTGTGAAATTTCCTATAGGTTGACCTAACATCCAAATTTACTGTTTCTATAAGTACCGTATAGGAACCTATCGTCAGGGGTCGTGTCTCATTGTCGTCTCATTGCTGTCCTCGGTATGGAAAAAAGTGGCCGTGCGATGTTCACTAATAGAATTTTGAAAGAAATATTTGCTTCTTCCTCAAAGTCGTAATCCTTGAAGTGTGGTGACAACCCTCGGACGGCGGGCGCAGTCCGGACGGGCGAGAGGGCCGCCCCCCCCCCCCCCGGAGGCAGGCGGGGCGACCGGGCGCGCCAAGGGGGAGGCAGGGCGGCGGGGGGGGGGGCTCAGACGGATGCCGAGCCTCTCCATATCCGAGCCACGTGAATCAAGCACCGCCGCCACCCAGCCGTGGTGCGCCACGATGAGAAAAAGCCTGACCCGCCCCCAGTACCAGGACCGGTGCTCCGGTGCGGGCTGGCCGCGTCTCCAATTATGAGCAGGCCCCTGGCCTCCTCCCGCTCTCGTACGCCAAAATGAGGTGACGAATCGAGCGGAATCTGAATCTCCTCGAGCCAGAGCCGAACCGTGACGGGGACGGGACGCCGAGGCCTAATTGCGATACAGTGGGCAATTGTGTTTAGGAGTTTGGTTAGAGAGGTCCGGTCAAATCTGACCACTGCCTGACGGACTTTTCCTCAACCGGCTCATTCCCAGAACTTGGCAGCAACTGGGAAGTTTCGCTCGGTCGTTTGGATTAAAGGGACTATCCCACCTTTAACATGGGGTTTGAGTTGAGATAGCCAAGTTTGCGGCGAGGTTCAGAAACCACTATCTATCTAGGTTGTAACCCCCGCGGCCTCTTGGTGTTGAAGAAATTCGTTCCCTTCATTTGAAAATGGGCCTTGTACAAGGCCCTATCTTCAACATGGAGCGACTGTTAGTGTGACGTCACCTCGTTTAGTCATTCTGATTTAAATGGGTTTGTTCGTTGAAAAAATCGCTTAAAACTTGGTCTGAACTTTGCTGTGGTGCCTACATGGAGTAAAAAGAATCAGCTTTATGACAGTAATGTGGCCTGGGGAAGGAGGTAATTTTGGGCTGTGACGTCACATATTTGAAAGTTTGTGTTTGAAATATGGGAAGCCTAAGATGTTTAATGAAAAATAAATGCCAGAACCGTGTTCCTGGTCATCCAATCTATAAAGTCGGGCACAATTTAACTGGTTTTAACAACATTTTAGAAGGTGGGATAGTCCCTTTAACCCGCGCCCCAGTGGCGGTCTCCGCCAACTTCGCCCTAGTGGGGGGGGGGGGGGGGCATATGTTACCACCCACCTCTAACTGAAAAACTAAGAGGGCTATAGAAAGACGCGGTAAAAAGCAGTCGATAACTCTCAATGCGTACGTTTGAAAGTATTTCAGTCATTTCTCATCTTAGAGCAATATTGGGGTCACCAGAGGTCATCAAATGTCAAAATTTGCCAATTGTCATTATATTTTTCAGAAAACATGCCGTTATCTCAGGAACTATGGTAGCAGAAAAACGAATGAAAAAGCAATCGGTAGCTTTTGAACTCTTCTTTTGATAAGGTCATTATCAAAATTGACCTCGGGTCAACGGTTTAGCCTCCAGAGGGCAACAACTCCAAAAATAGCTGTTTTTACGAGAAGTGTTTTTCGACAATAACTTTCCACTACAAAAAGCCACGACGTTTCTATTGCCAGAATCGTGTTCCTCTCGCCGAGACGCGTCGAATGAACTATAATTTGAACTTGAAAAGTCAACTTAAAAATTTGACCTCAGGTCAAGGTCATGACCTGACCGGAAAGGTCATGTTGCATATCAATCGATGCGTTTCAACAAGACAAACACAATGAGATCGTCCCCAGCGTTTTATCTCTTTCCAATCGCGAGTTATTGGCAAAAATATGTTTGTAGCCTCAAATGACCTCAGATGACCTTTCTAGAAGCTATCAGCAAAAATGACACCTGGGTCATCACGGGTGGTCCAAATCATTGTGATTCTGAAATATTTGGACTGTTCCTATGCGTACACACGGATCTAGAGGCATTTTCATTTTTCTCCATTGACTTGTAATGGAAAGGTCACGCCACCGACCTGACCTTAGGTCACGGATATAAAAAATTCCGAGATATACAAATTGTAGGCGCCCATAACAGCATGCAATCCACCAAGTTTTAAACCTTTCTGACAAACACTGCAGGCTGAACATGATTGCAAACTTTTTTAGGCTGGGTCAGTTAACTTGACCTGGTGACCTGACCTGACATGACCTGGGGTCAAAAATTTCACACATTGTCCAAAATTGATGTACCAAAAGCTACCCCAAGCGGCGCGTCGCTAGCGCCGCGGTTTCTTATTCACACGCAAAAAACGCGACAGGGTGGTAAAACATATGCCCCCCCCCCCTGGGGCGAAGGTTAACGCTGTGCAAGCCAGCGTTACGGCGGATGTATATAGATACATGGGCCTGATCCGCCTTTAATGTGACTATCCCACCTGCGTCGTTTTTGTTACGTCATCAAGGCAGAGGCGGAGCTTTTCCAGGGAACTTGGTGCTGAAAAAGTTGTCAAGCATACATACGATGTCCGATTGTTAAGTTGAATTAAGTGCTGCTCCGAATCGATTCTTATCATTAACAGAGGCAATACTTTGCATTATACAGACATTTCAAAGCTCCTCAATGCGAAAAGAAATGATTTTTAAAGCAACAAAGTCTTATAAATCAGCTGAAATTGATGGGAAAAAAACGCTTACCACTTATTGGTAGGAAAAAATGGCAAGTTAGTAAAAATTTGGAATCCCATGAAGTTCTGCGCGTATGATCCCCTTAGCTTATGTAGTGTAATGCAGAGTGCATAGCCATGACCAAGATTATGTAAAAGGTTTGTAAATAGTTAAATTCGCACTGACGTCATGAAATCTAAGAAGCATTCAAATGTATCAGTCCCCTAAAAACAAAAGTTGTACTCTTCGAAATTAAATATTTTCAAATCCAAATAGCCAGGGATCCCAATTAGGCTATTACCAACTCAAAACTAATGTAGAGATGGGATGGTCACTTTGTCTCGCTTCATGTCCCGGAGCTCAGCCCTCTGACCTGCCGGGTCCTCGCCATCGGGATAGGCCCAGTGTGCGCCACTAGTGTCATCTGGGGTCAGTGAGAGCAAGCGTGCGCCTTTCCTACTTTGACTTGGTGGGTACAGGAATCGTTGCGCAGTATTGCGGTATATTACAGACCGTATGAAAACCCAGTCCGTTTGCAAACGGCCTGGCCCAGTCAGGCCGTTTGAAAACGGCCTGAAAAAGCCGGCCGTTGGCAAACCGCCTGAAATATCAGGCCGTATGAAAACGGCCTAGGCAGTTTGAAACGGCCTAGACAGTTTGAAAACGGCCTAGTCAGTTTTCAAACGGTCTGGCGAAGTACAACACCCTCTGAAGATTGAACTTAATGGATCCAGGTTGGTCGATGATCAGGTTGCATCCATGTGAATGCTTGCGCATTCCATGCCGAATGACTCGTCTACATACGTCGAACATTTTCTTACTGTATTGATGCTCGGCCCGGCCGTTTTTCGACAATATTACTAATTATACAAGTTCACGGTCCGCCTGTGTACGGCCATCCAGTTGATAGAGCCTGGTGAAGCCACTACTGGTGTGGTGAGGTCTGGTGAAACGCATCACTACAAGACTCACCGATTATTTTGCGGCATAAAACGCCGGAACGCGCAATGGACATCAGAGTTCACATCAGTGGCGCGGGAACCGCGGGGGAGGGGGCTAGCGGGGCTGAGCCCCTCCAACTTTTCGGCTGGGGGGAGGGGGGCTCGTAATGTATTTGAGCCCCCCCCCCCCCCAGCTGGAGGAATCGAAATCGGAAATCTACCAACATAATTTCATAGATTCATACATAGGCGCGGGAACCGGGGGAGGGGCAGTGGGGGAAGCTTGCTCCCACAGCTCTGGGGCCGTGGGGGCGGTGCCCCACAACTTTTCGTGAGGTCAGGAACCGTTGGAGCAGCTTGTCCTCCCCAAATCAGGGGTTGTGGGTCACAAAGGAAGAAAGCATGTAAGTGAAACATCCACCTCTTCCACTGGCTCGGCAACTCATTTGGCAGATTAAAACCTATATTCCAGGCTGCCAAAACGGTAGTTTCTTCACTCAGCTGAGACGGAATATCTGACTTTTTTTTTGCAAATATTTTCGTTTTTTTTGTTGAAAAGGCCAAGGTCTGAAAAATAAGTGGCCTAAAACCGGTGAGAAAACTAGATTTGGGGGTACCCTAGGTTGATCTTTATTATGGTTCAGCCCCCCCCCCCCAGTCTGGAAGAAGTTCCCGCGCCACTGGTTCACATTAGAGTCCTCACCGCGCCCGGTCGACCGCCGGCGGCTGGCCGGTGGCGTACGCCGGCAAAGCCTGACCATTGCGGTGGAAGGCGAAACTTTGAAGTCGGGGGAAGCCCGGGTCGACCGGGCGCTATACGGGCCGGACCTCAGTTCTGCTAATCTCTTCCTGACCAGGCCTGCATTCGTATATCGGGAAAATCAGGGAGAATTGTCCGGAACTAGCGAGAATCATCGGGGATCACGAACGGTATCGCGATAACGAGACATGTTGAAG